GTTTAACAAAACCGTTGATGGGAATACGATGGGTTGTTGTAGAATGAATATACATGGGTATGTCATTTGCAAATTTTGAAGGCCTTCAGATTTTTTGCATGTAAATTAAATACTAGTTATTCGCTTTCTTTGGTAACATTGACCAAATTTATTGAAAACGCGGCATTGCGTTTCATCATCTCTCTTTTTTTTAGGGGAAAAACTATTCTTTTCAACTATAAAAACAAAGGTTTGAGGAGGATTTGACTAAAACTGCGTTATTTTATAGGGGGAGGATGCATAACACTGACACAATCCAACTTGCCACAAGCATTGCAACAATACGCATAATCTTAATTGCATTTAATTCACACGTCCTGAGACCCTATACAAACCAGTGGACCCACATTGCGATAATGGGATGGCTCATCGCAAAAAAAAAATACATATTTCGGGGAAAAGCACGAATGCTCGAAAACAATTAATTGAGACAATAGGGGATGATATTGTAACAAGGCCGATTGCAGATTTGATCAGAGGTTGCCTTCTGACCAAATTGCAATTCAGCAATATTGCGCGTGATTCATATGAAGCACTGGCTTTACAATAAGGAAGCATTGGAGCTCGAGCACAATATTTCAAGTTTAACCAACGTGAGGGATGGGTGGAAGTTTGACTGATCACAGTAATTAGATAAAACAGTGAAAGGTGGAGTGGACATCAGGGTGGTGGGATACAGGAGGGAATGCTAAAAGGAGACACTTGAAATCCTGTTTGGATTGTTGTTGGCAATGAAAGCGAACTATTTTCATTGCGCAACCCATCTACCCGTTTCGAAGCAGCAATCAACTAAGACATATACATACACGAAAAAAAAAATTGGAAGAATAAAAGAAGTCGGTTCGCAGCGGTCAGTTTTTTTTTGGGAGAATTTCGTCCCCCCGCCCCACATCACCCGCGCGAGGTACAAGGCATTCAATGAAAGTTGAATGATGAGACGGAGGGTGCCGAACGTTGCCAATTCTCTCGTTATGCCAGGTAAGCGACTAATTGATATGGTCAACCAGCTTTTACGTAGACTACAAGAGGATGTTCATCCAAGGGGAAAAATGAGAAATTCAATGATTTTTCATTGTTTGGGAATGATATGGGATTAAGTGAGATTTGTCTGAATGGAAAAATATAATAAAAATAAATAAAAAGAGAAATACCGCTCACTGGTATGAAAGCAAAGAATTGTCGGAAATTTAACCACCGTGCTCCCAACGCGGAGGGGGGTCTGAGTTCTTGAGTTAGTTCTGAATATTGCGATGAGTTAAGTGATGACTAGGCTAAATTAAAATATTCTCTTAGTGATTATTGAATAAACAGTAATAAATAATCAATGTGCAACTATAATAAAAAGCTGGAATGAATGGTAACCCAATGATATATTAGAAACCAGCATTTGTCCTATAATTTCGATTTTCCTAAATAACTGACATTCTGAAAATTAGTAAGAGCGTGTTAATATTCAATAGAAATAATTATGAGAAACCCAAACGTATAATTTGAACAAATCAGTTACCAATTACGGAAAAGGTAGAAGCCACTATTGAATTTATGAATTTAACGACTAAATTGCGAAAACTTGTACAAAATTAGGAAAAGGAAAATAGTAAAATCATTTCTGGAAAAATCAACAAAAAAAAAATGAAAAATTTTCAATTATGAAAATATTCAACGTGAATGCTTCTTGATCGCATATACATATACAGTTGATTTTATAATGATTTAAGGAAGAATAAAACAAAACCGTAAAGTAGGGTGGATCGTTTTGGACAAATGTTGGTGATAAACCAAGGCGTAACAAACACGTGTCCCTCATAAGGTCGGGCGTACAAGACAAATGTGTGTGCCGATTTTGGATTAGTCCCCAAAAACAATGTTCCAGAAAACGGGAGCAGAAAAATTGAGAAAAAAAAGATTTAAGAGCGGAGAATCGGACAAAAAGTTTTGTTCCTTCTTTCCCACAGGACGAGTCCCATCGGTTTCTACCCTTAGGCAATGTATGCGCCGTTGTGGGCCATCCAGCCAAAATGCCTTTATTGCTAATATCGCATTCAATAAATCTCAAATTCTCGCCGGCTCCTCATCCTGGCCAAGAAACTCAATGAGATGCTCGAGTCGCCTCTCCTGCATCTCTTCTTATATCTCATCATCAATTTATGGATATTAAACCGCTCCAACCAAATAATAATTAAACGATGCGCGCGCACTTGAAAGATGAACAAATTTATCGTGGAGCTGGGAATGCTGAGCAAGTTTGGAATGTCGCAAAGGGGAGGGGGGAATGGAGTGAAGGAGTGATGCGTCCACCGTGGAAGTACACCTAATTTGAATTAACTGGATAATTGGTTGCTTGCGATTTCTTGTTGTGTGCCGGCGCGACACAAAGAGTTGCCCTCTACAAATTGCTTGCAGGCACATCCTTCACGCGCATTTCCGATGTAATTCAACGTCAAACTGAATGGGGCTGGAATGCCATAAATGGTGGCGATCAATTCCCACACACACACAAAAAAGCATTGATAGAATCCGACAATGTCTGAAACGAAAATCCGAAAAAAAAACGAAGCCAAGGTGACGCTGGTTCGATTCGTAGTTTGGCGCTTTTGTTTTGTTGTTTTCAGGCCTCGTTTTTGAGTGGACAATTACCCCCATTGTAATTGAGCAAGGGAAGAGGATGAGTCGAAGTATTTCGACTAGTTGAGAATTGAGATTCGTTTCGCCATCCTTTTACGCCCGCCTGTGCAACATATGGAGGGGGGAGATGGAATGGATGACACGACACCTTTTGTCCAGCAACCGCCGGTCCGGGCAGATGTTTCGATTCTGTTGTTTTTTATTCTCATTTAAAACCGGAAAACAGGACAATTTTAAAAGTAAACCCGATTTGCAGCATTTTTCTATATCTATTGCCCATTTCATCATCAGCTAATATAAAGTAATGTCAATATGGTCAATCAAAAATCGATTGAATCATTGTCTTCATATTACAATATTTTTAATAATCAAGAAGAAGCCCCCTTGCCAAAATGTGACTAAACACACATAATTGACCTAGTGAATGAGTCAAGAAATTGTGTCATCCAAATGCACAAACATCAATGGCTAAGAGTAAATATCAAATGGTTATCTTAATTCCAACATCGGGACTAGGGCTTATATGAACAACCCTAATTAATTGATTGTAAAATGAAATAAGAAAATAATTAGGGAACTTGAAATCTGAATTTATAATTAATATAGTCGTTAAAGTAATTTTTATTTTTTTTAAACCATCACAGCCTTTTTTAGTTTTTCATAATCTCTAAAAAGACTAAAATTAAAATCGGTTGAAGAACCATAAAATATTGCTGAATTACTATTTTTTCTATTTTATTATTTTTAAAATTACTTTTTAAATTTTGCTTGAATTACTTTTTTTATTTCGAAATGACAAAAAAACCATTTCTGCGATATTCAGCTGGCAATAAATCCTGAATCTTCGAGCTCTAAAAAATTTAATATTCAAATCTATTTTTGTTTGCTCTCATATAATTAATTCATTTTGATGAACTTGTTTAAAACAATCATGCCAATTTCGATGTGGATTTCTTTATGTGTGTGTTGTTTTTTTGCCTCAAAAATTTTCGAAAATTCTGCGTTGGCAACATTTCTTCAGGCACTTACTTTCGTGTTTGACCTTTATCAGTTCGTCCGATATGTCAACACACCACTCGACATTTTTTTTTTCAGATTTTTTTTCTAAGCGCCGGGAGAATGGTAAACATGCACTTTTATCAGGTCAACGTCGAACAGCTGTCACTCATGATGATGCCGACAGACCTTGAAGATGAGGTAAAAAAAAATCTGTTCTCCGATACTCGGTTAGCATTATTCTCATGATTTCAAAAATTCTTCGAGGATGTGTGTGAAAGATGCACAGATGACCTCAATTCTGTAACGAAAGTTGAAATTGCACATGAAACTCGTTCAGAAATGCTTCGCTTGATTAATGATAGAAAATCACAAAAATATTTTGAAATATTTTGATAAATCTACCGGTATTATAGTACAGAGCGAAAAAAAATGCAAAAAGGGAAATATAAATTTATATCAAAATCCCACAAAAAACGTTTTAAACGGTTAAAAGTGCATTACATCAAAAGGTTTCTTATAATATTGTAGAACTTAAATTTAAAGTTTTAAAGAAACTTTCTTTGCGGATTTTAAAGCCTTTAGCTTATTAAAAATCTTGCCAGATGACGGAATACGCAACAAAATTCGAAGATAACTCGCGTAATTCAAATTTTAATGAATTCACCTACCCACGGAATCAAAATTGAAATCAGAGGACCGTTTCTTTAAAATAACAGTATAAGGTATATCTTTTCTTAAATCCCATTCAAAAACCTTCATTCACAACTATTTTAATTGTTTTTTTTTTGTTCTACAATTGGATTCCTTTTGCAATTTTTGTTTTAAAAAATTCTTTGAAAGTTCAAAAAATCTGTTAGCCATATTCTTTTCCATCGATATTATAATAATTCTTTTTTAATGTTTCCCTTAAATATTATGTTTGATTGTGAGCAATATATGATTCATATTTTCCTTTATATTGTTCTTTTATTGCCAACACAATTGTTTTTTGGACCCCGACTTCCTCTCGAACCGACTTTTTTTCATCATGTTTGCGATAAAAGTGCAACTGTGTGGTTGCAGGTTTCTGAAAAAAAAATTGAGGCGTCGATCAAGGTTCTGTGGAGATTCACGTGCCGTTTCGATAAAAGTGCAACCTTCGGTTCGATTTCCAGCCACTTTTTTTGTATATGTCTGGCGAGAGACGCACAGATCCAAAACACACCATCGACGTTTTTTCCGCGAAAAATGCGCCTCCGACCCCGCCTTTTGCACTTTTGCTGCAATTTTTTTTGGAAACCGATGTGTTTGTATAAAAGAAGAGTGTCGATCATTGGCAATCACTGCACTCATTCAACATGAACAAGACTGCAAATCCTTCTGCTCTTCGCGTCAAGGTAGGTATATCATTCTATTACAGAACTATAATGACTCCATTCTAGGGATACCTCCTTCGACAGACCAAGAAGTACCGACCGCTTCAGAAGCTTATCGAGCAGCAGCCGATGCTGCGCACCATGGATCAGCTCTATGATTGCTTCTACGAATACTCAAGAGGACTAATGTTTGCAAAACCTGCCAATCCGTTGGTACCATTGGAAAAGCGTGCTGGCTCAACATCGGATCTTCAAGTCATTCTTCCACTTGGCACGGATGCATCTTCCCGTCTCAAAATGGCTGATAGTACTGGAAACGTGCGTCTTGGACGCCTCCTTGAATCAATTGACATTGTTGCGCCATGCTGCTGCTACATGCTCAATCGTGAGGATCCAAGTACCAAATGGTTCGAAAATGGAACACTTCCAAGAATGTTGGTGACATCGAGAATCCATCCAGTATCGCTAACCAACGCTTATCGCATTTCTCCCTACCATGACATTTTTCTCAATGGAAAAGTCACATGGACATCGGAATATCAATCGGAAGCCACAGTGAGCGTCAAACAAAACGGATGTACCATGCTGACAGCCAAACTTCTATTTGTAAGTCTCGATTTGATAAAATTGAAATTAAGGAAAAATTTTCAGGCTTCGTTGAATGCAACTAACATCAAGGAAAAATGTCCAGTTAACCAGTTGAAGCCAACAACTTCATATGAAACCGAGCTTTTCCATCGACGTACGATTGCCAATACTACAAAGCCTCCAGCACCTCAATTGACAGCAATGGAAAAACCAATTGTCAAGGATGGCGAGATTGCGATGTCAGCGACCGCTCTTACAACAACCACAATTGCTTATCCGGAACATGAAAACCCATATGGTTCGGTCTTTGGAGGATATCTTGTTCGTCAAGGGATTGAAAGCGCTGAAATGTGCGCCAAGCTTTTCGCGAAAGCCGACGTCACCGCGGTTTCGCTCGACAACGCCGAATTTCTCAAAGTTATCGAAATTGGAAGTATTCTTCGCTTCAATGCTTATATTTGCAATGTCAAAAACAATTATGTAAATGTAGGAATCGCATCAACCACTATACGTATAATTAGTTTTGATTCAGGTTTGCTCTCAAGCTGAGGTATTCAATGAGCGAACTCAGCAATTCGAATTTTGTGATCGCTTCCTTTTCACATTCGAGACTAATAATAATAATAAGGTAATTCGGAATAGAATTGAACATATCGTTTTTTATTTCAATTAACAATTTTTCAGCTTCCACGAGTCGTTCCCCACAATATGCAAGAATTTGTTGCACAGTGGAGAAGTCAAAACATCGCTAAGGCAAACTAAATTCATTTGTACATTTGTAGAAATTTTAGCGGGTTGAGCATTGCATTAAATGAAAATAAATGGAATAGATACTATTCATTTTTAACAATTTTTTCTTCATAAAAACTGTTAGAATGGTTACGGTTATCAATAAGAGAGCTCGTTTAGATCTGCGGACATTTTCCGGGGTTCGCCACAATTGCCTGTTTGTTTTTATTAGCGGTGGCTGGGGTTCCAGCAACACCTATTAACAACTCTGAGAAGGATAATTAAAAAAGATTGTCATTTGCTTAACAGATCTATTTCTCATCTATAATCAAAGAATGACTGTTTTAGGTCTAAATCAAAATATATATTTGCAACAATAGGGAAAAGTTCAATATTTAATTAATTAATTTATTTTATTATCTGATTTTTTACATTGCAATAACTTGAAATTTATTTAAACCATTTTTCCAAAAAAAAATATTTTTTCTTATATTAAATACAGTAGTTGAGAAAGTGAAAATTATCTTTTACTCGTTGAACGATCCTATCTGATTTATACATATATTCAAATTGACGACATGCAAGCACGTAATCTGTTCCAATAATTAGAACTACATTGAAGATTCTTATATTTTGATAATAATTGGCTAACAAGAGGCTTTGATTCCAATTGGATACTTTGTGGCCGACTTGTTGACGATTCAATTGCCAGAGTATATGTAATCCCAATTGATCATAAATCATAAGGTTCGTTATGGACCTTTTGATGCGCTATGCACCTTTAACATGTTCCCCCCGCCCCCTCTCTCCAAGACTGCTGATATTGTTTAGGGTGTCAGCCAAATTTCCAGTGTCAACAATAAATAATTTTTGAAAAATCTGCATGGTTCCATAAACGGAAGAAAAATGTGCGCATGTAGCATTGTGATTAGTGTATTCGGAGTATCGAGGCGCATTCTTTAAATAGTCAGTCAGTTCTTGAATTTACCAACCCGAAAATCCAATTTGATTGCGTAAAAAAAACGAGCGTGAGTGTTATTTTCTGGTTATACCGGAAGTCAGTATGATATGTCAAACTTCTACTGTCTAAATCAAAAATTGAATAATCGCCCATAAAGAAAATGCGAGAGATGAGCATTTTTCAAAAACCCGCCATTTTAAAAATAAAATTTTAACATTTAATACCAGTGCCAAGGCAATCTGGCCGTGTTTTGTACAAGCATAGTGATACGGTTTTATTTTGGTTGCGAGAGGACCTGGACTCAATTCCTACATTCTTATATTATATAGGTTTTTGATTAGTTGAGATTTTGAGCATGTTTACAAAATGTTCGAAATTTATTTATTTTTGGAATGTTTTGCACACAAAAATGAAATTATTATTTTGCCATGAATGAATGAAGAGCTCATCCCTTGTATTGAAAATTTTCATGAGCATTATTGCAGTTAAAAAAAAAATGTTTCAACCAATTTTGATTTTGTTAACTTTCTCTCAACAAATGATCACAATGTTCTTAGTAATTGTATAAATGTGTATTTTTATTGGCAATAAAAATAACCACCAACAATGAGAGAGCCCTATCAGTGTAGTCGGCTCTTTGATGAATTGTTGACGCCGTCGAAAATTTTATATTTTTAAATTAACACTTTCCCGTGTTTGGCAAGCACTAAAAGTCTTATGAATATTTGCTCAGATTCGCCAACGTCAAAAGAAAAATTGATTTTGGCCAAGGTTTCGTTATATTTGACTTCGAATATCTTTTCCATCATTTTTGTTCTTTTGCAATTCCAAAAAAAATTAATCCGATTTCTATATACTGTTCTGCGGTCTTACGAGTTTTTAAACCGATTTCAACTCAACAAAAAGGCGACATATAAAAATGTTTGATAAACATAAGTAGTTGGAAACAAAGCGCAATATTTTTTAGTGTGAAGATGAACTTGCCGCCAATATTTATTTTATTTTCAATGCGTTCTCCGCTCTCAAGATTTTCTTTTTTTTTGCTCGATTTACATTGTAGAAGAATTGGTGTAAAATCTTTTGATCTTACGCTCGAATTTAATCAAATTTTGATGTAGTCTGTCGTCAGAATTTCGGGAGGTGATTGTTCAATGTTTGATTTTTGTCTTACTTCACCATCTGAATTGGAATCCTTTCGTTTCTTTAACACCAACGCAGAATCGCAGGGGTAGGGATTCAATAAGAAAAGTAATGTGGTTGTTGATAGTAATGAGATCCCAAAATTTCTCATTTCAGCACATTGTTTTCGGAATTTTTTTCCAATATTGGAAAAAAAGCCTTGTAGTCATTTCTTTTTTAATATTGCCTTTTATAGCCAGTTTAGCTTATGTGGACCGGCTGTGTAGGTCTAATGTAAATATTTTTGGCCTCAAAAAATTTCGAATCACGTTTGAATGTACTGTTACTCTTAAAAATTGCAGATCCTATCATTACTAATCAATTTTCATTTCATTCAAGGTTCCATTTCATGCCCAATGCTAACTACTTTCTACTAGAAGCTTGTAACTACTTCGACTACTAACCAATGTCTTCATTTTCAAATCTCGACAATTCAAATGGACTGAAAACAATATTGCATGATAAGAAAGGTAGTGCGATTTTTACCAATTTTCTGTTGATTTTATAATTTTTTGTACTCTACAAAAGTTTTCCGACGCTTGTAAACTAAAGACTACGAAGGGATATGTCGACTGACCTCTATTGTTTAGACAAAAAAAATCTGCAGAGTTCGCTTTTTCGAGTTTGTGTTCGCTTTTCGTGTCTTTTAATCACGCTCTGACAAGCAAGAATAGCGCCAACGTATTGTGTAGGTGGACTATATTTCAACTCCCCCGATTTCCAGTTTCTTTGAAAACTCAGAAAACGCTATTCATTTTTAATTCAAATCAATTCCAGTCTTGTTGAAGCAATTATAGGAAAACACTAAAAAATACACGTGTAGTTTTATATGCTCGATAATAAAATTTATTTGTCCAATAAAATATAATTAAAGACACGTATGATTGTTTGAAATCCAGACAGAAACGATTTGAAGCAATTAATAATCATATTTGAAGTGTGCAACACTTTGCCGAACCACCCGATTTGATGAACTCGCTCATATCCGTGAAACGCACTGTGAATCCAAGTTTGACTAGCTTATTAGCAATTTCATCGTTCTGATGATGCATTATAACGTTTTGCCCAACAACTACAGCATTACATGCAAAGTTCCTAGCCTCTTTCAGGGATACCTATGAAAAAATAATGTGGGATGTTTGAATTGTAATTTAATTTAATTTGTTACCTCGATTAGATCAGTTTCGTTACGCATGTTATGGCGTGTAATATGATCAAATGCGTATGGGTAGTAAATTGCAACGCTCTCGTTAAGTGGACAGAAGGCGGTGTCGATGTGGTAGAACCTAGAACATTAAATAATAAAACAAAAAATCTGGGATGCAATCGTGATCCGCTGCCATTAGACTTGCTTGTGCAAAACAACAACATCTTGCAACAACTGGGTTTTCACTAATTTGAAAAATATGTTCTTCCCCCTTCCCACCATGCTCGAATCAGAATTCTTGTACGTACATGTGTGTTTTTCATAGCCCCCCCCCCTCCTCCCAGTGTCATTCAACTGTCTTTCCAATTTTCTCTGACCCACGCGTTTTTAATAAACAAAAAAATGAAAGCTAAACCTGGGATCCACAAGCCGACATCCGATCACTTTCCAATCCAATGAGCCGTCGTCGAGTTTGTTTGCAACATCGCGAAGTGCCCTCACGTCGGTTCGGGTTCCCACGCCCATGAACAATGTGCGATATTGTTCGCCGCCCCATAACGCGTCACCGGCACCTTAAAAATTAATTCATTCATCGACGAATCTTTGCGCACATTCAGCTTTTTCAAGCTCAGTTTGCAAAATTCCTATTACCAAACTCTTATAACTGAGTGGACTCTCATTCCAAAAAAATTATGTGTAAGTTCTCATATTACACTAACATGAAAAAAAAATTGTCGACATAATTGCTTAATATTTTCTGATCGTTGTTACACACTTGTACGTTTTGTTGCATTAGGGAAGCTGCTTGATTCGATTTACAATAAAAAACCAGCATCCTCTATTACTTCATTTTATGTATGATATCCGTTGTATCGTATTTGAGTTCCCAGATTTCAAATTCAAATTTGAACTACTGGCACGAAAAAAATACAACAGTCCACAAATTCCCATGGTCCCAATTTCTACCGATGACAATACGCTGAAAAATGGTAAAACAATTGAAGTACCCGGGAATTGCATTTTGTAAAACCTACAAACTACTATTTCAAATTCTAGTAAAAATCTATCGTCTAGTTGCCATCATCCTTTCAAAAAAGTAAGCCATCAAACATCATTATATATATAGCCTACACATATGAAATTTAAGAAACCCTCGTCATTTTGATTTCAGTTCTAAAATAGTTCACTGTTGAAATGCAATCTTCCAAGTTCCCACAAAATTTTATTTTCAAACATAATCGAGCAGAACAAAACAAAATACTACTCGAATGTGGGCTGTTTTCTCATGTATTTTGATCTAAATCGTTCTAAAATGCAAAAAATAAAGAATTTTTCCAATAATAAACATTTGGTTTGCAAATATTGAGCTATTTTGGGCCGTCATAGGACCTCACAAATCATGAGAAACAAATTTCGGCACTTAGCGCATTTCATTAAATTTTCTTTTCTTTTTCGTCATCCTCACTTGAAACTTTTATTTACCCCCACTGCGAAATATTACCATCACAGGACAAAGAGCAGTAGGTGGTACCATAGGATACACATCTGCAAGGTTGGACGTCAAAATTTAAAGGATTTCGCCTATCGTAATACCTATAACCTACACAGTAAATCTACGAAAAATTATTTTTCGGGGTGCTTATTTTGATTATATTAATATATAATTTCTCATTATTTGAATATGATGGGGATCGAGTCACATTTCGTCTCGCCAGCCACTTGTAAATCTATATGCAACAATAGGAAATTGGTTGAATTCTCAATAGCTTGTAATTTGAGAGCACTTCCCACATGATTCGTATTATAATTGGAGTCAAAAGTCAAACCTTCCGATGGGATATCTTGATCTCCTACGCATTCGTAGCCATTCTCGGTGAACCATTGCTCATAGAAGAATCGCTCGCCTTGGCGTTCGGGGTGCGCAAAACTTGCCAGATAGGCCTTATTGCCTTTTATGATGGCGGCGTTTGCGGCGAACACGATATCCGGCAAGTTTTCAGCTCCCTATAATTTCAGTTTAAGAATCGCTTAAAGTCGAGACGCAATGTTCATCTCCTTTAAAGTACGCCCTAACTGTTCAATACGTATGTTCTATAATTGAAACGTTTCTATTCCTGACTTCTCTATAATTATAAAAAGGGTTGGGCTAGACTTCTAACACGTAATTCCTAGTACTTCCGCCTTGAAAGACAGTTTTCATTCCTGATCACAGGTACTTTTTATCAACTCACATACGGCTCCATGACTTCCACTTTTGCCCCACAATTTTCAATAGTGGTCTTCAAGTTATTCCACTGCTTGAGCGCCTTTTCCCTGTTGACTCCTCGTTTCATGTCCATCCATGGGTTGATCGAATATTTAAGCTGAAATTAAGTTAATAAATGTGCGTCGTTCTAGAATTATTAAATCGTGATTTTCATACCTCAAAATGAGTTGGACGGACCATAAGAATACGTTTAACTGGGTTCTCGAGGGCTTTGATGAGTGTAGAAGTCGCCATTACTGCAATCAAATAAATACACTATTGATGAAGATCGTTAATGAAATACATGATGGCATGTTGTGTACCGTCACGGACTTTTATACTGTCTGGCGATCATCAATCTTGCCCCGCCCACTTTCCCTAGATCGCGTGGCGTTATAGTCTACAGTCGCGGAGAATCGTAAAACAATGACTGGGTACATTGCACCCATTATTTTTTGGGTGCATTTTGAAATGATTTACAAGTGACAATATTGCGATCAGATAGGTAACACGTCATTGGCTTTTGGCAATGCCCCTAAATTGAGACAGATTTTATGGAGATCAATATTCTCGAATGATCTGAAACCTCATAAGGACATTTCCCTTTTGTAGCTAGATCTCGTTAAACGCTTATTTTCAACACACCAATGAATTAACAAGGAAATTATTTTTTTGCTTCCGCACACATATGTAGATCATGCAGATCACGTGAAAAATGGTTTATCAATGCGATATGCATATCATCAGATAATAGATAATCTTCGATATTCTAGAAATTCATAGTTGATCCGTTGCATTGAATATGTGTAAAGGCGGTATTAATTCAACGTGAATCGTCACAGAATATTCAAATAAATGAGAATTTAAAAGACCGACATCCTATTGGTGTTCCGAAATAGAATATTCTAATCGTGAAGGTGCCAGAATTATATGTTGCTTTTGCTATTGTTTTTCCTATCACCAAAATGTTTTGTTCATTTCTTGCTGCAATAGAACTTATTCACAATATTTGGTGATAGAGATCACTAGAAAATTCGTTGATTTTCCGCCCTCCACGCTTCTGCAAAACTTTGCACTCGATTCGTCATTATCTTTGTGTTTTTCTGCTTCTTGCCCTATCAAGTTGAACATTTCGCGAATGTTCCTCACTATATGCGATCTGATCAAGAAGCGTTTGCGTAGTTGCTTGCGATCAACATGTATCGCCGCAATAGATCTGCATGCGCGATTATCAGAAAAATTAGGGATTATAAATATGATGATGAAGATGTCAAAATGAAGACGGGAACTGACACGTGAATATTGCGAGAAAATTCTAGATTCTAAATATGTGTACGTCGAAATATATTGAAAAAAATTTTGTTAGTACATCATTTACTATCAAGAAACAAAAAAATATCATGAATTTGTTCACTGTATAAGAATTAATGGAATCTCGCGAGGGAAAATTCAATAAAGAGCAAACATTAAAAAAAAATTCAAGTAAAAATAAACTAAGTAAGCTAATTGAATTGGTCATTTATCTTAAAGTCAGATCACGAGTCTTTTTTTTTTCAATTCGTCAACATTTGTTTAAATTCGCCAAAAAAAAAACGACTTCTGCACTTTTCAAAATCTAGTCTTCACGTTTAAAATGGCCTCGAATTACATATTTGAAAGTTTGCTCTCTATTTTGGCAGACCCTTCCAATAAAATTGAGAACATCACGCAACGAATTGACAATTCGCATCCTGGCGTCGTCACTCTAATTTGGAAATCAATTCAACAATTTGTTTTGGTCTTGCAGATCTTATGGATGTGATTTCCAACGAGACACTTCCATTATGGTTTGATTACTTAGAAGCGGCTAGCAGTTATTCGTTGATGTTTGTCGCGTTGATAACTGTCAACTTATACTGGATGGAAATCATCATTCTCTTAGCTCTTCGCAACTCCTTTTATAAAGGTGATAATGGAATTATAATTTTTAAATATTACTGGTCTGATTTCAGGAATGTTTTATCGAATATTTACTATCGGTATTATTGTTGACATGATCTCATTAATCAATAATTACGTTGGCTGTGTATTCCCAGCAAAAGAGTAAGTACTAACTGATTTACAGCTACCTAGAATATTTATATTAATTTATTTGAAATAGTTAGTGAGCAAAATATTGAAATGTAAATTTTTGGTGTTGGCTATAATTTTTGAATTTAGTTACAAAACAATGTACTTAAAATGATCCCTCGCGAACACTTAACGTCACAATATTTATTGTTGTCACATTGCCCAAATATTGACAATTTGGCAAAATAATAATCATCATTTAGATGGTTCATCGACTACTATTTATCGCTTGGTACAACTGTTGGACATTTATACTTGATCATTGCTTGGACTTCTCGCGGAATTCAAGGATGCACTGTTGTCGCACTAGCATTGAACCGAGCCACTGCTGTTTGCTTGCCAGTCAGACATAAAAGAGTAATTTGAGCTTGAATTATTGTCTATTGAGAAACACTTTTGAAGATTTGGTCTTCTCCGTGGGCCCCATGCATTCATATATTCCAAATTGGCATTGGTTTGATGATCGGTTCTGCGTTGATTCCACGATCGTTTTACTGGAAGCACGAGCGTGTTGGGTATGTGATTTGTAGTGTAAATTTATCAAATTTTCGATTCCAGCTATTATATACAATTCGAGGACAAAAAATTCCGATTGAACTTTTTTCTCGCCGCCTACTTAATTGAATCAATTTTTGTTACTATCATTGTCATTATCAATATTACAATGCTAGTGTATTTCAAAAAGAAGTATAGAATGGTGAATTGGATTAAAATTAAGCCAATATTGAAAATTTTATATTTCAGAGAACAATTAATGCTGCCCAAAAAGCAAATTACAATCGTAAGGTGATGTCTGAAAAACAACGACAGGAAAATAGTTTAACAATTGTTGCAATTGTAACGTGTGTAGCTGAGCTCATTTATTACCTTTATGTGATTTATGCATTTGGCATAAATACGAATGTTCCCACTAGGGTATATATAGACGTTATTATTGAGATATTTAAAAATACTGCTTTCAGATTTTCTATATGGGATATAATTTGATTAATGACTGCTATTGTAGTTTGTCGGGATGGCTGTTCTTAATTTCTTCAGCGCCAATGAGAAAACATATAATGAAAATGTTAAAGTTAGGAGACTTGTTTATTTCGAATGAAAACATGTTTCGGTTCAGATTTCCGACTCAAGGCTGCAAGAATTTGAAAAATCTTGAGAATAATGTGTCATCGGCAACAAATATGGATGGTTATATTCGCAATTCTGCTAGAAATACATCAGCAAGACGTGTGCAATCTTTTGGAACACAATTCTAAATCAGCAATTTGTACATATGTATTGAAATATGTTTACCTTGTAAATAAATATGTATGTGAAGATTTGAATTGTCAAGTAATTATTTATAAGTCAAACAAAATAAATGAGATAAATTACAAAATACAAGTATTTATTACAGTTGATTTTTGTGATCAAATTTAATCTACATTTCACTGAAGATGCGAAGGATGTGTTTTTTCTTGCCGCCAACCATTTTAACAGGTGCCAAGACGAATTTCTTCTTCGTAATTTTCGCCAGCTGAAAATGAGAGAATTAAATTTATTAAGCGCATATATATAAATATATATCGCTAGAAGGCTTTCAATTTCGCAAAATCGGTGGAGATTTAGTTACGCAGGTGTATATACTAATAATAAATTAAGGGTCGACTGAAAATTAATTGCGCGTAGGCAATTTAGAATACTTTTCTTTGTTTTGAGACACTTGGCACGTTTTCAAGTCAGCCGTTTGAATTCGATAATACCTATATTTAAACAAGAATCTGTTCAAATCTTGTAACCTGAAGCGTATGAAAGAGCCGTATAAAAGAGAAAAATGATAATATTTTGGTGGTGTTTTGGTTGGGCAATTCCGTTTCAAGGCTTATGTCAAATGATTTATGGAAACTTCAAAGGGTTCCACCGATTCAGCGACAAAATGGTTTACACCAAATAAAACTTACTTTGAGAACAAAATAGCCCATGTTTCTATGAACATTAACGAAGGTAATGTTTTCGAAGTAAGTTTGACTCGGCAAATGTTTTGTCTTCATCCAATGAAAGAACAACACATCGGTCAAGTTGGCGAATCCGGTGAATCCGTTTCTCATAGCAATGGCGAGTTTATCCAAACGAGGAAACCCCAGAATCAGCTAAAAATTGACAAATTAATTTATACAAATTATATAATGACTACCTCATCGGTCATAATATCGGTGTTCATGGTGCAATCGAAGACGAGAAATGTATCGAGGTTCAAACCCTCAAGCATACGTTGGAATTGTTCACGATCAACTGTGATTTTGCAAAAATTCAATACGAGGCCGGTGATGTACCTAAAATACAAAACGTGGTAAGACTTTTTTCATATTGAATTCGAAACTTCAAATTATGCTTCACCAGCATGAAGCGTTCGTAAAAATAATCGTCAATTATCACGTTGCGCAGAGTTAGAGTGCCGGTAATTGTGGTGGAAATCAGATTATCGTAGACGAAATCGACGAATTGCTTCTCTTGCAAACCATCGGCTCCAGGTGTATGGACGGTCTTTCCAAACGGATCGATGCGCAACCCGCATGTCTCCATTCTGCCTGGCGAGCATTCCATGCGAATCAACCTAAAATCGACACGTCTTCTTATTTCATGCCAATTTTTGGAAACTCCATCGAATCAACCAGCTGCTTCACCGAACCAGTGTTGGCCAGCTCGCCATATGTCGCCGAATTGACTTGTGCCAAGTTGATGAGGTCCGATTCGGATAGATGTCGGCGGACCTCCTGGAGGAGAGCAGCTTTCATTTTTGTCGTCATGAGCAATCTATAAAGTGAATTTTTGAAAAAAAAAAGCAGAGTACAAAAATTATATGAGAGCGAGAAAATGATGAATTAGTCTTGCCGAATTCATCTAGTTTGGTGAAAAGAATCTGAATTTGATTGGTTTAGTGAAAGAAAAAGAGAGAAAAACTAGCGAGATGGAAAGGATAACCATGAAAGCAGAAACAAAGAGCTCATCGTCATGCCATTGTTTGAATTTAATCGGCATTGTTTTTTTTTACGCATTCCATTGTTTTTCAGATGATGGTGTCATCACCATAGAGCGCAACATTCTTAATTATTCAAGTCAAACACATGTAAAAAAGGAATGGTAGAACAATTATTTGAGAGAAAACCGCAAAAATTTGGATTTTGAGTTAGCGCTCAGTGGAACCTAATGAAAAGCATTTATAGCGCAACACGTTATCGAGAATGTCATTGCATTAGCCGCATGCATTCTGCTGTGAAAACCAACCCGTGATATTTGCAATGTTCATTTTTTGATTCATGAAGAATCAGAGCATCAGAGTGGAAAGAAGCCGGTTGGGGTTTTTGCAAAAATGGAATTATGGGAAGAGCTCTTCTTATGTGCTTAGGGGTCAGGCATTCGATTTTGCGTGATGGACAATTTCTATTAAGAGCATGTTGCCATGCAAACCGAAACGTTGCTTGCCAACACCACATTTTCAAATCGCAAAACCTATAATTTTAAAAGCGTGGTAATGTGGAATGAAAAGAAAATTCATAATCACATTCGTTTTCATTTTAGTATGAAAATGAAAAGAGATGAATAAGTTAGGCGAACATATTACGACTGAAGCAGCGGCGATGTGTTATCAAGATGAGACGTTCACCAATTGCATCTTCTTTTTTTTTACGATGTTTTCTGCTATCAGTTGGCGGACTCGTCTTTGTCCTTTTACAGATATCAACAAAACCGCCACCCCCAAATTGTTTACAAAATGAAAAAAAATGAATGAAAGAAAAGTAATTTGGAGGTTCATACATTATTTGAAGCCGCTCGACGATGATGAGAGTGCAATAGTCCAACTGTTCGATTCAAAATAATTTCTCGGACGCGGAAATCTCGGAGGCAATCATTTCGCTGCAGCGGCGGCAACAACGTATCGCAATAGTGTAAGTCAATCTCGGAGAGTGGGGCAGCATGAAAAATGACGTTCGGCTTGTTCAAGCGAGCGTCGGCGACGTTGACGCCACAGCAGGAAAAAAAAATGAAACGCGACGCATCTTAAAAAAAATCGCAATGTCTCTCTGCCTTTCGTTTTTTCTATTTAGAGTTCCAATCGTTTTCTAAAAGGATTTGAAGGATTCAACTGACTGGTGATTTATAGATCCAAAAAGTATATTGGTTGGGTGAGAGAAGCTCAAGAATAGCGATGAAAAGCTCGAGAGCTATAGTGAAACATTGCATTCCTAATATTAGTAGCGAAAGGCTAATTTACGTTCCGCCTAGATGATTTAAAATTTTCAAATAAAGGTCATTACGTGGAATATTGCAATACTACATTTAAAATCTCGTTTTTATGTCTTTGCTGTCACTTGAACGAATTTTGAAAGAAAACATTATTTTGCCTTCTTAAGAAAATAAATCACTGAAATATCAAAAAAAGATCAACATCTGGAATTTACTGGAAATTTCCCGTTTTCTGGGTCGGAATATCAATTAATTTTGCCAGCAATGATTACTGCGAAATTTAAAGGTGCATGGTAGAAAACCCTTTAATATTAATCAGCGAAGAAAATTTTTCAAAATTTAGGGGTTCAATCATTTTTTTCATAAAATTGAGAAATGAGTTTATCGTCAAATTTTGCTTTTAAAAAATCAACCAAAACTGGAAATCGAACAAAAATAAAATTTTCCGGATTTTTAAACCGAGAAAGGCCATTCCCAAACATTTTTTCCTGCACAACCTTACTTTACATCAAGGCATCAAGTCCACAGCCCTGACACGAGAACGAATCCCTTAGAATACAAAACTGCCAACAGAGTGTCTAAAAATATTAAACAGGTTGGCTAATAAATTTCAAATACTGTTGAAACCAAAAAAAAACTGAGTGAACATTGAAGACACTGAAACATTTCTTAAAATATGCTTCCAATAATAATAACATTTTTAGACATCAATTTCTTGAAAATTTCCTAATTTTCTTAACATGTAGGTCCATCCATCGGTTTTTTATTTATTTAAATGTCAATTATAATATATTAAAATTCCGATAATTAAACGAATAAATAAAAAGAAGGCCGACGTAATGCACTGTTTCTGTGGTGAAAAAAAAAAAACAAAAAAAAAACTTCTTCACGCCGAATGCATAATAGCATTTAAAAACATCACAAATTTACTCTGAAATGGAGTATTATTATCAAAGGGGTGATACAATTAATTATACATATTATATAGCTTTCTTTTTCACAACATCTGTGCCAATTTCTCGACGTCTTCTGACTTGTTAACCCTCTGCGCGATCTCTTCAATTGTTTTCGTCTGGAACTCCTTGGTTTTGTAAATGTATTCAACAATGGTGGCGACCAATTGCTCACTGAAAATCATATCAAATTTTCCCTTTCTACAACAGTTCAATATTTTTCAAAACCTAGTCATGTTCTCATCATCAAATTGTGGCAAAAACTCGACAATTTCCGTAGCCACCAATTTGGTCAAATCAATGGTAAGAAGAGCTTTGACGAATTCCAACGCATTGATTCCATCATCAGCTGGCGTGCCGACAGCCGGCGCAAATGATACATCGAAACCATCAAGATCAATCGACAATCCATAGCCAACAGTATTTCTAAAAGCGAACACAAATTTCATATCAATAACGAAAAATGTCTAAACGCGCCTGGTAACGAGATACTGCGCTTCCTGCAACACGTCGGCGATACCACGCTTTTCGACCTCGTGCGCATAGAAGATGCGGACTCCCAGACGTTCGAGAAGTTCCTAAAAAAAATAACAACATGGATAATGATACGAGAGCGTCAGTCAATTAATCAAACATGTTGTTTGCTGCCCCCCCCCTACGCCCCAATACTGATGCAATTTGCGAGATCATTGGAGAATCATGCGATGATGCCGTCATTTGATTTTGACAATTGCAACGATACAAATATAAAAGGATTTAAAAATTCGGAATTGAAAACTTTCTAGAAAAATTCACCATAACAATGAGAATTCTTATTTCATTTTTTATCGGCATAAATTTAAGATTCATTGCCGGAAACGATACAATTCGTTTGAGCTTCTGACATCAACTAACCTGTTCAGCATTTTCATACGATCTGATTCCCACCATGCAGAGATTGTGCGGTTGCAATTTTGGTAGACGGTCGCCGATTTTCGTCAAATTCTTATCGCCAAAACCAAGTAGATGCGCAACCGGCATGCCATGAATATTTCCGGTATCACTGCTTTCTGGTGTGTGCGCGTCCTAAAACATCACAAATCGTTCATGTGTCGGTTGGTCTTTATCGAAACCATATGTGCGTCCACCCAAATAAGTCCAACGTCACCAACCGGACGGAGAGCTGTCGCCACACCGCTCCATGTCCCTATGGCGCAACTATGATCACCGCCAAATACCTAAATATTAGTATTGTTGCAAACTTCTAGATGAAATGATTTTTGTTTGATACCAATAGATCTTCCTTGTTCTCAATGACTTGCCTTGTGTGATGCGCCAACTGTCTGCATGTCTAGAAATGTGAACTTCGACAACGTCTTGCGGAGAAATCATTGATCAACATGTGGTTCGACTTACCTGGGTAACACCACTCAATGCCTTCGAATGTCTTCCAGTATCGACTTCTTCCACAACGGCTCCCCACTCCAACGGGACCTTTCTCTCCACATTCTTCAAGAATCTTGACTTTTTAAGAATTTCAACAGCGTTTTCGCATCCAAGTTGCCTGAACAAATATTGGGGATCAATTGTGATACAGTAGGACACCTTCTCACCTTCCGGCCAATCCATTGGCACATCCAATAGCGCGGATGATCTTGCTAGCCAACCGTGTCGATTTCCTCATTATACGTGTATATCTAGAATGATGATATTTGGGAAATGATGATGGGGATGACTAGAGGAATATAATGCGCCACGTGACGATATTTAAAGAACGTGGTTGAGGGCGTGGCCTTGATCGGGGAGGGCGGTGTCGAGATGGATGAAATAAACCGCAACGAAATACAATACAAAGTAGGTATGGCGAATACAAACTATTTCGGAGAAAATTTTGTGTAGAAACTTTAGATAACATTATTGATTAAAATTTCATTGTCTGTTCTAGACATGAAAACTGGAGAGAGTCGCTTATCAATGAAAATGAACACGCGGTTTTTTTTCGTACAATAGAGAATCTAATTGTTATTGAAATTACACAATTTGCATGGTTTAAATTAGTAATATATTCCAATTATAGTTATAGTTTGAATTATCTTCAGTAATACAATGATCAAATGGTTCCACAAATTCTGCTTTCCTTAGATTTTCAATGATTTCGTCTCCACGAATTTCATTCTTCGAGCAAAATGACTAATTTGAAGCTGAGTGACAAGATTGTTTTTTGAATGCTCCATTTCGACAAATTTTTCTTTTTTTGGAAACGGACGCGATTTTCAATTTCTTGCATTTCAAAAGAGCCGATTGTTAGCCAAACATTTTGCCCTTTGGGGGGTAGCGAATACATTTTTCTGAACATTCGTCCAAATCTTTTCAATTTTTTTTCTTGTCTCACGTTTGCATTTCTCAAAATTTCAAATAAAAACAAAATTGATCGCAACACCTAATCGAATCGCATTGAAATCTTTGATCAGAGAAAACCGAGACAAACAAAAATTGGCACGTGGTCAGAAACATGTGTTTCTCTTCAGCATTTTTTTCTAGAAATAATCATTTAATGCAAAACATGACGATGGTTGAATTGGAGTTCGATAGGCAATGCTCGGATGATCTCTGATTGCGTCTTGTTGTCCCATCCCATCTGTGTTATTGTCTTGTCACCGACACACTGCACGTTTCATTGAAATAAAGATCAAACAATGCCAGTTATGATCGCGTCACGTGACGTACTCTGCATAAAACCGGGGGAAACCCCTATCATAAATCAATTGTTGATTCTATCTGGCCACGTTATCCAACAATGGGAAAGGGATTCCCCCGTTTCCTATAATTGATCTTACAAAGAACAACAGATGGCCCGCAACGTAAGGAGATTGAAACAACACCACCTCATTTTTCAGACAGAAGTTTTTCAGTGATCCTACATTATTGCTCAGAACGAATTTGCTTTTTCTTTATTTCAATTTTTGTATAAGTTATGATAATTAGAAAGATATAAATTTAATATGTAGTCTTCATGAAAAAATCATTTTTTTTTTCAGACAGTCTTAAAATTGAAATTAAGGTTCCAAGTGTCTAGATGCGACGAGACTAATTTGTATCTAACATGTTCAATGCATAATTCTACCCACTCGTAAATCTACACTAATTTCGCGAAACTGAAAACACCAACACATTTTACTCGTATATATCCACAATATATTTTTAATATCAGACTTTTCATACCCCTCAATTGACCATTACATAGCAAATATATTTAACTACTGTATATTAAATTTAAAAAAATTGAGAAATTTTAACAATGAAATTGAGCTTATTTCATTATTTTGTCAAAATTTTAGTTCTCATCTATTCAGCTGATTTTCATTTTCATCATCGCATTCAGCGAATTTTTCAAGTTTTTCGTGGGTCTTAGGTGCATTTGGCCACGAGTGCGCCCATACTGCATTCTCAACGCGTCCGGTATCCAATGCGGTTTCAGAGTGTGTTCGCCTCAATCAATTCATAGACTGTTGAAATTATAGTAAAACGAAGATAACACTATATTGCCAAATCTATCGTTTGATTTATTCCGAGAGAAAGAGGATGCCAATTTCGGCAACACTCTGACAGGATAGTAGAAAAAGTAGCGCTATTTCTCTCATTCGTCCCTCTTCGTCTGTCTCTGTTCCTTGCGAAATAAACCACGGCGTTGTCGTTATCGCACAGCTTCACATACAGAACATCTTAGAAGAATTAAACATGGCCGAATGGTCTAGTGGTATGATTCTCGCTTTGGGTGCGAGAGGTCCCGGGTTCAATCCCCGGTTCGGCCCATCTTTTTGTTTACGGTTGAAAGAAATTCAATGATAATTAAACAGGTGGGTTGCGCCGGATGAAAAATGGTGACTTGCGTGGACGAATTAAATTCTTTATAAATTTCCATTTCTAGGTGTTTATATTAAACTCATATGGTATTCGCATGCATTTTGACACCACTTGGTTGAGATGGCTCGGGCTCGGAAGCACGTCGTACCTCACATCTTGAGCTAAATTTTGTGGACAATCGGCGCATTCTAAAAGAAAAACTACTACGGACGTTCATTCGGGTCGTCACAAATAAATGGAACATCTATAAAAATTCAGGAAAAATTTAAACATACCAAATGAGAAAGTTGGTTTTATCAAGAGTGAAAGTTGCAACAAAGGAAATCCACGCACAATCTAAAATTTAAGATCAAAATGTCACCTAACGAATAATATTAAACCCTCGTACTTTTGGCTTCAATTATCGCATACTTTCATATAAATCGCTCATTTGAAAATAATAATTTTGATTTTAATGCGAGGATTTCAATGAAACCCTTCTATTTTATCGAATTCTTGGTAGTGAAATTAATCGAGACGCTGTGCATATTTCATATTAGCAATAAATGTTTGACTGAATCTATTATTGTCATGGTTTTGTGAACGCTTACCACAAGTTGTTCAATCGACACATTTTTTTAGTAATATGCTGTGAACTAACTACTCTAACACAACACCCCAGTTCGAAATTTCTGTGCTTTTCATTTAGTTGTTTCCGGCAACATTATTTCTGTTCCGTTTGAACTCTATTATTCTGGAAACGATTTCATCATATTTACTGTTTTTCATCTGCCAGATTACATTTATTCATTTAAAACCCGTATCAGTAAATCAAATCCAGTATGGTTCCATCGCCCGCAATAGGTTGATATATATAATACGTTTTGCAAAAGTGTCTCTGATCACTCAAAAATATAAATGTATTAAAATCGCATAAAAACCAACCTCTTGCGTGTTTGCAGGTTATCTGTACGGTACACAAATTTCCACTATTCAAGTTCAAAATTACGACTGTCCACTAACCCATGGTAGGGTTTTTTTGCAACTGCAATAAAAACAAAATTTTCAATGTTTTACACAGCCAATCAGAAATCTTTAAAAATTTTTCTAATATTATCTTTCAATGCTTTCATTATTCAGCCACCATATATCATTTATTTCAATATATAGCACGTCCCTTGGGATATGTTTTTTGGAATTTCGAAAATTTATTTGAATTGCACTTTTTTTTGTCATAACTATCAAATAGCTGTGGTTTAAAACCTCAATTTACATGCATAAAAAGCTTGAATGGAATTTTTGAAGTATCGTCAAGTTTCAAATAGTGAATCCACTGAACAAAATCATTTCTTTCTTTTCGGCCTTGCTCTTTGTTTAATAGGGTATCGCTTTTCTGTATGTATTAACGCAATATGTTGTCCAAAAGTAAATAAAAAGAATAAAGTGCTCGAAAAAGCTGGGAGCCCAACACAAAAAGTGAAATCCAAAACTTTTTTCCGGCTTCTTCAATTTTTTGTTCGACGGAACAGTTTGCCAATAATTGTATATTATATTGTTTGTTTGTTATTAACACCCATATGGGAAACACAATAATGGTTCAATTGCGCTGATTTTCTATTCATGCACATAAACGGCTCGCTAGCTCCTGCGTTATTCATTCAACATGGCATTGAATAGATCAAATGATTTCCGTAATAGATAAATATCTATGCGGCTAGTCGTTTTCCGGTCCTTCATCATGTGACCTCGTAAATAAAATGAGCTGACTGAAAACACAAAATACTGGTATATAGTGATGTATGAACAATTCCGATTCCGGTTCATCTCCATTTTTTTCTCTTTTCGGGAGTCGCTGGCCAACTTCCGAGAATTCGGACCCTATTTATGGATATCCTTTTACTTCAATATGTGAAAGAATTTTCAATAGTTCCATTTCCCAATTACGGTGCAACTCAATCATGTTGGCCGAAATTTGGTGCTATTAAAAAATTCGAATGTAATAAACGCGTCGGCGACCAACAACAAATTGAGTATTTGTCAGAAACGGCAACTATTACAAAAAAACGCTTTAAGCAAATAAACGTTTAAATAATAATTCCCCATTCATTTTTTATTTTCTTATTTTGTATACAACTTGAATGCATTTTTGAGTTTTTCAGAGAATCGTTCGAGTTTTCTGATACTGGTAACATTTCCGACATCGTCATTTCCTGTGACTTTTTGAAACATCCCCCATATAGTTTAATAGCGGGGGGCAGGAAAGAATTGTTAAAAATAGAAGCCAATTCATTTATTTTTAACTATTACGCTGATGTAAATAAAGAAAATTGTACAAATGATTCAGTGCCGTCTAATATATGAATATGTAATGCAGAAATGTATTAGAATCGACTCAAGTGCTTCTGCTTGTCGATTCTTCTCATCTAACCTCAAACTTTTTGAGTTTCTCGCCTTGATCTTTCGTTTTTCTTTCGTCATGTTTGAATATATCAGCGAGTCCCGGCCCGCCGATTTTTTTTCAATGCATCTCCATTCATTTGACATTTTCAATTTAATTAAAAATAGAAGCGATTTTCTTGCGTTTCGCGCGCCGCAGAACATCAAATGGACACACGATGATTGTGTTACATTTTTGTTATTGCTGAATTAATAGGGGTCCCTGTTGTTTTTCTATTTTGTTTAATGATGTGATTATTTAGTCGGGTCTCACGGTTTTTGAGCGACCCACCCAAAGTCAATTAATGCCGAAATTGATGAAGTTGTCAGTGCTTTTATATGTCTGTGAACTTCATTTATTCATTTTCTCGATCTGTCAACAATTTCAGTGAACGATTCGCCATA